AGGAAGTAAATTGATGCAGCCTTTCTTGATGGCATCTTGCTAGTTCCCGAGGCAGTCTCTCTCATCTGACATTTACTCATTCAACAAATATTTATTGAGCACCTTTTAAGGTGCCAGGCACCATTCTAAGTGATGAGAATAAAATAATGAAGAAGACAGTACACTTCTAGACAGAAGAGATAGTCAATAAATAAGAAAATAAATAAATTTTGTATAGTGCTATGCGTTATTTAAAAAATAAGCATGGCCCTAGCCGGTTTTGCTCTGCGGGTAGAGTGTGGCCTGAGGCCTGAAGGGTTCTGGGTTCAATTTCTACCAAGGGCACATGGGGGGGGGAGCTCCATCCCCAGTAGGGGGCATGCAGAAGGCAGCCAATCAATGATTCTCTCTCACCACTGATGTTTCAATCTCTCCCCCTCCCTTCCTCTCTGAAATCAATAAAAATATATTTTTAAAAATAAAAAATAAGCATGGTAATTTGCTAGAGGGTGACATGGATTGCAGTGGGGACTTCTTAAAAAGAAAGCCCTCTCTCAGCAGATCAATGATTCTGTCTCATCATTGATGTTTCTCTCTCTCTCTCCCTTACTCTCTAAAATCAATAAAAATCTTTTTTTTTAATGTCCTCTCTGAGGATGGAAAGATGATGTCATTCATACAGAATCAAAAGAAAGTTTCTCTAAGTGGAAGCAGCAACATGTGCAACAGCTCTGAGGTGGAAATGGGCTTGCTGGAAGATAGAAAGAGGGCTAGTTTGGCTCAAGGATAGAGAAAGAGAGGAAATGTAATTGATACATATGGTATGTGTTATGCTAAGAGAAGTGAATATGGACCAGGTCATGTGGATTCTACTAGACTAAAGTGCAAAATGGGATTTCATTTCATTCACATAATATTTGGGAGCAACTGAAGGGTTTTAAGCAGGGAGTGACAAAAACTGACTTACAGCCCTAGCTGTTTTGGCTCAGTGGATAGAGCATCAGCCCGGGAACTGAGGGATCTCGGGTTCAATTCCGGTCAAGGGCACATGCCTGGGTTGTGGGCTCCATGCCCAGTGGCAGGTGTGCAGGGGGCAGCCGTTCAATGATTCTCTCTCATCATTGATGTTTCTGTCTCCCTCTCCCTTCCTCTCTGAAATCAATAAAAATATATTTAAGAAGAAAAAAAGAACTGAGAAGACCACTCTGGTTGTGAGTGGAGAAGGGACTTAGAGGGCTAAGAAGGAAGCAAGGAGAGCGATAAAGAAGTCACTGTGACATAGCCAGGTTGCTCAGTTGGTTGAAGCAACACCCTGTACACCTATCAGGTTGCAGGTTTGATTCCCAGTCAGAACACATACCTAGGTTTCAGGTTCGATCCCTGGTCAGGGCATACAGGGGAGACAACTGATCAATGTTTCTCTCTTTCTCTCCCTTCCTCTCTCTCTAAAATCAATAAAAAACATATCCTCCAGTGAGGATTAGAAGAAGGAGAAGGAGGAAAAGGAGGAGGAGGAGGAGGAGGAAAAGGAGGAGGGGGAGGATGAGGAGGGGGAGGAGGAGGAGGAGGAGGAGGAGAAGGGGAAGGGGAAGGGGAAGGGGAAGGGGAAAGGGAAGGAGAAGGGGAAGGGGAAGGAGGCGGCATTGTAAGAAGCTATCATAACAGGCCAGGTAAGAGAGGATGGTGGGGGGGAAAATGAAGATGGTGACTGGGACCAGAATGGCACTGGAGATAAAGAAATAGAGGAAGAAAGAAAAAATAACCCAATGGGTTAATGTATTTTGGAGGCAGAATGCCAGGACTTGAAGAAGGATTAGATAGAAGGCAGTATGAAAAGAAAAAAGAAGACCCTTGCACTACAGGCTTAGATTTGACTTTTATTATATTCAAACTAGAGGCCCAATGCACGAAATTCGAGCAAGGGGCTTGGGCCTCGCAGCCCCAGCTTCATCCGGAAGGTCATCCAGAAGGACGTTCAGCTGTCTGGTCTAATTAGCATATTATGCTTTTGTTATTACAGAAGACTAGAGGCTTGATGCAGAAAATTTGTGTAAGAGTAGGCCTTCCTTCCCCCAGCTTCTGGCACCAACTTCCCTCTGGCAACCAGGACCCAGGCTTCACTCCAGCACCCGGGACCTGGGCTTCCCTCCAGCCGCTGGCAGGCACCCAGGACCCAGGCTTCCCTCGCAGTCCCAGCTTCGTCTGGAAGGTCGTCTGGTCTAATTAGCATATTATGCTTTCACTGGTATTATTATAGATTATTAGATTATCTTTGTGCACAAAATAGGCTTATTGTTATTTTGATGTGGCATTAAATTTATAGAAAATTTTCAGAGAAATGACATTTTTAAAGGATTTTTTAAGTGTTTATTGATTTCAGAGAGAGAAACATCAAGGTGGGTAACATCAACTGGATGCCTTGACCAGGGATGTAACCTGCAACCCAGGCATGTGCCTTGACTGGGACTCAAACCAGCGAGCTTTTAGTTTATGGGACAACATTCCAACCAATTGAGCCACACCAGCCAGGGCAATAAATTACATCTTTATAGTAATGGTTTTTCTCAGTTAGAATAGGGCATATCTTTTCCATTCTTCCTGGCCTTTATTATCTTTCTAAAGTTGTCTTTCAATTAGTATCTTTTAATACAATAGTTTTCATTCTATGCAGACCACTTACTTTTCAGTTCCAAAAGCACTTTAAATATGTAGCAATAAAGATCTCATTACCTTCTGGTCATGACCCTTTGACAAAAGTGATTGATGAGTCTACAAGAAATGTTTAAATATTGAAATAGGTCAGTGGTTCTCAACCTTCCTAATGCCACAACCCTTTAATACAGTTCCTCATGTTGTGGTGACCCCAACCATAAAATTATTTTCATTGCTACTTCATAACTGTAATTTTGCTACAGTTATGAATCATAATGTAAATATCTGATATGCAGGATGTATTTTCATTGTTCACGACCCACAGGTTGAGAACCGCTGAAATAGGTGAACAGTGAACTTAGAAGTTGGTGATAGAACTGAAGGTGGGGAAGTGGCATCTGGTGGGCAAGGCCTGTGTTTAACCCTTGAAGATGATCTCATGCCCTAACTGGTTTGGCTCAGTGGATAGAGCATTAGCCTGCGGACTCAAGGGTCCCAGGTTCAATTCTGGTCAAGGGCATGTACCTTGGTTGCCGGCACATCCCCAGTAGGTAGTGTGCAGGAGGCAGATGATCGATGTTTCTCTCTCATCGATGTTTCTGGCTTTCTATCCCTCTCCCTTCCTCTCTGTAAAAGAATCAATAAAATATATTTTTGTAAAAATGATCTCAGACCATGCCATGTGGCTCAGTGGTTGAGCATCGACCTGTGAACCAGGAGGTCACAGTTTAATTCCTGGTCAGGGTACGTGCCTAGATTGGGAACTCGATCCCCAGTAGGGGGCATGCCAGAGGCAGCCAATCTATGATTCTCTCTCATCAATGATGTGTCTATCTCTCTCTCCCTCTCTCTTCCTCTAAAATAAATAAAAATATATTTAAAACAAAACAAAAGAAGATGATCTCAGAAACAGTCTTGTGTGTATTACTTTTTGTTGCATACAAAAGTGGAGGGGGGAGTGTGAAGTTGGTTCATTTGGGGATGATAGTGAGAGTATGGAAAAGGAGATGGAAGAAGAAATACTGTAGCTCCTTAAATCCAAAATGTCAGTCATCCACCATCCTCCCAAAATCCAGTCAATTTTGCCCTAGAAATAACTCGTCAGCCTGGCCTCTCTTCTTCCCTCCACTCTGTGGTTCATCATCTCCCCTCGATTAGTTGTAGACTACAACAGCCTTGCTGCACTCCCTCCACCCTCCACATTGCCCGGAATTATCTTCCTAAAAGAGACATGTCATCATGCCACTCCTTTGCTTTAAGAAACACTACTGGACCCATGTGCCCTCCTCCAGAGAAGCGCCTCGGTCTCATTCCTTTTTACCTGTTATACAAAACCCTTCACACTGTTCCAGTCTTCCTTCTCAGCCTTCTCTCTCCTTGTCTTACCCCCACAATCACTTCAGAACAGGCTGTGCCTTGCCTTTCTCTGCATTTGGAACGCCCTTTCTCAGCTTCTGCCCACCATTCATAAAGATTGTCCTCAAATGTCCCCTCCTCTGGACAGCCTGCACTGCTCCACCCCCACCTCAGCAAAACCCTAATAGTAGCTGCTTTGTCTTCTGAGTCGTAACTCCATTATAGCATTCCTGGGATCATACTTATTTATGTGTTTCCTCAAGTATCCTAGGAAGGCAGGAGTCCTGTTCATTCATGTCTGTGTCCCCATCGCCCTAGCATAGTGACTGGAACAAAATAGGCACGGGTAGATGGAAGAATGTTAGCTGCCATGAGCGGATGGAGGAGTTGAGTAGTCCGAGAAAGTAGGCAAAGTAATCCTGCAAAGATCAAAGACGGACACCAGGGGGAGCTGACACACCACAATAAAGAAGTGGGAGGGCTGGCCCAGAAAGCTGCCAGCACTGGAGTAAGCGGTGCGCACCGAAAGCACGCATCCCCCGGCTGGAACCGCTCAGCCACGTGTGCATCCCCTCGCCCTCCGCCCAGACCACGCTTGAGCTCATTCTGCAGCCCCCACCGCCTCCACCGCCCCACCAACCCCGTGTTCCCCACCGCCACTGAGAAAGCAAACAAAGGGGAGGAGACTCCTGCAGGGTTCTGGATGCCGGGAGCCAATCAGAGGGCTCTATTCTCCCGGAAGGCGGGCGCCTCCGTCTAAGGGAGCCCAATCAGTTCCTCGGGGAGGGTAAGGATGGGGGAGAATGGGCGGGAAGAGCTGGGAGTTGGGAGGGACCCCCCGAGAGGGATGGGACCAGCGGGCGGGGCGGAGCCAATCACTGTGAGTGTCTGAGAGGAGAGGGCGGGCTGCGTGGCAGCGCGCGCGATCCGGGCTGACGCATCTGGCCCTGGTTCCCCAGGATCCGGGGGCGGAGGGGGGGCGGGGTAAAGGGGGCCTAGCGGGGAGGGGGAAGCGGAGAAAGAGTCTGGGGCGCGCGTGCGCAGCGGCGTGGGGAGGAGCAGGGAGGAGCAGGGACCTGGCAGCGGACTGGGAGGCTGCGAGCGAGCCGTGAACCGGACGGGCGGCGGGTGCGCGCACCATGGGGGAGAAACCCGGGACTAGGTAAGGGAGGTGGGGCCGCTCAGCGGGACGTGGGCGGCGGCTCCGGGCGGGTGCTGGGACGGTCTACAGACAGGGACCCTGGGGAGAGAATCGGGAGCCTGGGGGGCAGCCATCTGGGGCCACACGCCTAGGTCCTCGGGGGTAGTGCGGGGGTACACGCATGCCGGAGGAGTCCCTTGCAGAAAGCGAGTGCTCAAGGGACCCAGGAAACCGGCGTCTGGGTTCAGGCAGGGATGTGGGGTCCGGCGACTCGGTTCTCCCTTGCAGGCTGCGATGCCGGGGCGCAGGAGGGTAGAGCAGGTGGCCGGTCCCGAGGGGTCGGATATGGGCAAGCTGGATGCCGGAAGGGGGATCCCCATAGACTCGTGCTTAGCCACTAGGAAGCCTTCTATTCAGTACCCCACAGGCAGTGGGGCTGCCCCCACCTGTCCCGAGGGCCGGGTAGCTCAGCTTCCAAACTTCTGCCTTCCCCAGGGTTGCTAGGAGCAACAGCCTCATTTTAAGAGAGCTGAGCGCTTGGCGATCCTCCCCGGTCTGGGCCTTACCCCTCTTCCCGGGGGTGAGGGGAGGCGGTATCTGCCCTGGGCACTCCATCCACTCCCCGGATGTTTTATGTGCAATCGAGGCTCCTTCCTTACACTGGCACCCCGAGTTCTGGTTTTTGATCTCTAGCACAATCCACTTCCTGTTGTGACCCAACACCCCCAAGGGGGCAGTGGGCGAGTGCCTGAGGCCCTGGGGAGCAGGCGCAAGAGGAAAAGATTGGGGCTGTGTAGCTTTATCCAGAGGGGATCAGGAAGATGGGCCTGGTCCTGGGCTGTCACTTCTTCTGCAAAACAGTGCCATATCAGCCCCACCACTCCCCGCCTATAGAGTAGGAGAACCCAGGTTTCTGAGCACCAAGTGGAATCAGTATTGGGGAGAGATCATCCGAGAAAGGACTGGTGTCCTGGTTTGGGGGTTAAACAACCCAGAGAAAGGGGAAGTCACTGAGGAGGGAGGCCCCCGATTTCCGTTATGTGGTTCGGGGAGAGGGAAGGATGGACCAAAGGGGGATTGCTGACTTGGCATAATTCCTCCCATCAAATTCTGGGCCACAGGAAATGTAGATAATAGCAGGAAGTGTGAGGGGGCATCTGCTTCTGTGCCCCCCCCTCTATGGTCACCCCCACAATCCGCCTCCTTGGCCAGCTTCAGTGTACACACGCTGCTTCTCCCTAGCCTGGCAGGAGGTTGGCTGGGTTAGGATCCAGAAGGCAGGTGCCCTGCAGCTGCTCCAGGGCAATTACCACAAACCGACACTCCACTTGGCCAACGGATTGTAGATGTCACAGTTCTCTGCCAGGGCTCCTAATAGGAAGAAACACTGGGACAAAGGAAAACCAGAAGCAAAGGAGAGGAAGAGCTGGATGGTGCCATAACAGTCAGACCAAGTTGGGGCAAGAGGAGGGGTGCTCAGTCCAGCTGGCCATCATGTCAGTGTTTACTCTGCTTTACTGGATGGGGATACCCAGGGGACCTCCTTAACCTCTGCCTTATGGCCTTCGGATAGCTTGGCCTTCTGGGAAGAAGGGGCAAATAAAGTGATTACAGCAGAAATGGGTGGTGGGGCTGGAGGAAGGAGAGGCCAGCTGGTGGGATTTCAGCTTCTCCTATCTGGGGACCCTTCCCAGAAGTCACCGCTGAGGCAGAGCGGATTGGGAGGTGGTGCAGCAAAGAACAAGCCCCCAAGTGGCCGGAGCCTTGGAGTTGCCAGCCACTTCCCCACTCTTCCAGCAGTGGGTGGAGCCCAGGCCTGGATTGTTGTAGCAGTTGGGAAGTGAATCCCTTTCAACCCAACACACATAATGCCAATTACAGAGGCAGGGCCGTATAATAGTTCAGTGACTAAGAGCATGGACTCGGAGTCAGACCGCCTGTTTGTCTACCATTTACACCGTGACCTTAGGCAAAATACTTGACCGCTCCTGGGCCTCAGTTTCCTCATTTATAAAATAGGAATATTGGGACCTCCTTCGTTGGGTTACTAAGAGTATTAAATGAGATAACACACATGAAACGCTTTAAACAGGGCTGGGTGTATTCACGCAGTAAATGTTAGCATCATCGTCATTTCGTATGCCTGGCATTGTGTTGGGGATACCTAACGGAATAAGGCCTCTGATGCTCACCATCTATCTAGTGCAGCAGGCAGTACACAGCTAACTGCCCTGGCATGCTATCATGCCACACATAACACATAAACAAGGTATGACATGAACCCAAAGGAGGGACCAGGGTCTGGGCTTGATCCCCTTTTTAAAAGAGGTGATACCTGAGCTGGACCTTGAAAGAGAAACAGGCTTTTAAGCTGCTGAGATTAGAGATGGGGAGAATTCGAGGTTAATGGAGTAGGGTCACACTTAGGTAGTGCCTAGAGTAGAAACCATTTTAAGGCAAAGGCCGAAGCCTGTCAAGGACTCCAGCTGTCTTTGAAGCTGGAGACCAGAGAAGATGGAAAGAGGGTTAGGTCTCTTGCAGACAATACTGCAACCTGCCCATTCAGGTCCCCTTGGGGGAGGTCCTCTGGGAAGAGCCAGGGTGGTTCCTGTGGCAACCAGCGGCCATTGCGGCCATTGCGTGGAGGAGGGGAACTAGGGGAACTAGTGCGGGTGGAGGGGGGTTGCCATGACAACCAGCTTTGAGGGGCTGCCAAGATGGGAATGTTAAGGACCTCTGGTTACCTTTTTGGGGAAAAGTGGGAGGGGGGAGGGCTGGACAAAGCCCCAAAGCCTCTAGGCAGGAATCCCGGGTGAGCTCTGCAGCTGAGGATGGGGAGGGATAAGGTCCTGGCATCCGGGTCCCTGCTGAGTCTGAGGGAGGCAGTGGGGTTTCCCTTTCTGTTTTGTTAGGGTCTTCAAGAAGTCGAGCCCTAACTGCAAGGTGAGTCTCCCACAGTGCTTCTCTTCCTGACCCTCCCGGGGCCCTCAACAAGGCCCAGCCTGCCCCTCGATGATCCCCAACCCCTATCTGCCCACTTCCTGTGACAGCTGAAAGCCAACTTCCTTCCCTCCAGAAGCCCCTTGCCACAAAGGCTGCTCCGCCTAAGCCAGCCACAGGGCTGGGTGGGGACCGGCCTCTAAGCAAGACCAAGGGGGAGGAGCCAGAAACCCATGCCTGCAGCCCTCAGGCCATGGCCCATTTACCCCAGAGCCCCTCTCTGGCTGTGACCCACAAACCCACACGCACAGCCCACACATCCGATTGCTGTGCAGAGGTGCGAAAAGATATTAGGGAGGAGCTAAAAAGCCTCAAAGCGGGGTGGTCTTTCGAGGCCCCACCACCTCCCCTTCCAGCTTCCTGGGAGGAAACCAGAACCCCTGGACATCCCAGCCTGGGAAGACCAGGGGCAGGAAAGCCCTTGTAAGGCGTTGATGCCCTACCACCCTCCTACCCAATCTTCCCTGTGACCCCTCTCCATCCTCAGCTCACTGTGTACTTGGGCAAGCGGGACTTTGTAGATCACCTGGACAAAGTGGATCCCGTAGGTAAGTGTGCCTGCAAAGGGGCATCTTGTCCCCCAAGAGGAGAGGTCCTGGCGGGAAATCAGCTCACATGTCCCTTTCCTAGATGGTGTGGTGCTTGTGGACCCTGACTACTTGAAGGACCGCAAAGGTACTGGCCCCCAACTCTAGGGGCTCAAGGGGAGGTGGGGGAGAATGTGAAATGGGCTGGCACTGAGAGGGGCCCCAGAGAGAGGGAGGGCTGAGGCACAAGCCAGGTGTAGGATTCAGGCAAGTCTTCGGCTGCCGAGAAGCAGCTGCTGCTGGGCCCTGGGAGGACTGGAGAAGGGGAGCTCCTGACCACCACGTTGCCCTCCCTTGCCAGTGTTTGTGACCCTCACCTGCGCCTTTCGCTATGGCCGTGAAGACCTGGATGTGCTGGGCTTGTCCTTCCGCAAAGACCTGTTCATCGCCACCTACCAGGCCTTCCCCCCAACGTCCAACCCGCCCCGGCCCCCCACCCGCCTGCAGGACCGGCTGCTGAGGAAGCTGGGCCAGCATGCCCACCCCTTTTTTTTCACAGTGAGGATGCCCCCCCTCCCCCACCTTTTGCAGGGCAAGGGGTCTGGGACTGTGTTTGGGGTGTGAAGCACCAGTTATGGGCAGATCTGGAGGAAACAGTAAGGAGGGACCCTAGACCCACCTCCCTTCAGGGCCCTTTCCTCTCTGCCTCTTCCTGGGCCTCTCCTTTTTCCTTCTCATCCCCAGGACTTCTTCTCCAGCCTCTTAAATGGAGATTGGGAGGAAGACTTGGGGGCTTCCAGGGGAACTGAAGTCTCCCCTTCCCTCTGCCACAGATACCCCAGAATCTGCCCTGCTCCGTCACCCTGCAGCCGGGCCCAGAGGACACAGGGAAGGTACGGGAGAGACGGTTCTGAGGCTGGTGGGGCAGAGTAGGGTCCAGCAGGCACATGAGCTGGGGGTGGGCTATGGAGAAGCCAGGATGGGATGGAGGGTAGAGTATTGTTCCCAGTGGACATGGCTGTGTTTGGGATGGCCACTGCGCATGTGTGACCCCGCTTCTTGCTCTTGACCTGCGTGTACCTGGGTATAAGGGCTCACCTTGCACAGCCAGGATGAGGCCTCTGCCAGGTGCCAGGCCTTGAGCAGGCAGAGGATGAGGGAGGGCCAGGCCCTCTGCTCCTCAGACCAGGATGGGGCAAGAGTTCCTGCCCAAGACTGAGGGAGGAGGAAGGAAGGAAGCGGTGGTGGTGGTGATGGCAGGGGCCTTGTGCAAGACCTGACTTTTCCTCCCCCTCTAGGCCTGTGGCGTAGACTTTGAGATCCGAGCCTTCTGTGCCAAATCACTAGAAGAGAAAAGCCATAAAAGGTGAGGGAAGCCACCTCCCCTGTGGTTTGCCCATTCCACCCCGGCTCCCAGGAGCCCCAGCCCCTGTGGGAGGTGGGAGTGGCTGTTTGGGTGTCTAAGGGATAAACCCTCACCCCCAGGAACTCTGTGCGGCTGGTGATCCGAAAGGTGCAGTTTGCCCCAGAGAAACCCGGCCCCCAGCCTTCAGCTGAAACCACACGCCACTTCCTCATGTCCGACCGGTCCCTGCACCTTGAGGCTTCCCTGGACAAGGAGGTGGGGTGTGAGAGAGTGATGCAGGCGCTACAGTGCAGGCCAGACTCTGGGGGAGGGGTGAAGCCACGTGCGGAGGTGGCGTTTTTAAAGGAGGCTGCCTGAGCTAGCTGTGGAGAGTTGCTGTGGGCTTGGGTTTAGGGCAGGGGTCCTCAAACTACGGCCCGCGGGCCACATGCAAATACAAATATTGTATTTGTTCCTGTTTTGTTTTTTTATTTCAAAATAAGATATGTGCAGTGTGCATAGGAATTTGTTCGTAGTTTTTTTTTTTAAACTATGGCCCGGCCCTCCAACGGTCTAAGGGACAGTGAACCGGCCCCCTGTTTAAAAAGTTTGAGGACCCCTGGTTTAGAGGGAAGAGGCCAAGCAATGTGTTTGTGTCTGGGCACACTGATAATGGGACCAGTGAAAACAACCAATTAATTTGACCTCCCTCCCCTCAAAAGCTGTACTACCACGGGGAGCCCCTCAGCGTCAATGTTCACGTCACCAACAACTCCACCAAGACTATCAAGAAGATCAAAGTCTCTGGTAGGAGGTGGGGGTTGGAACGTGGTCTTGGGGGAGGGAGTTGCCCACATGATCTGGCATCATCTCAGCTCAAGGGTCCTTTCCTCTCTGCCTCTTCCTGGGGCCTCTACCCAGCAGGGCTCAAAGAATTTAGGCTCTGCCCGGCCAGCATCGACCTATGAACCAGGGGTTCAGGGTTGGATTCCCAGTCTAGGCACATGCCTGGGTTATGGGTAGGGGATGTGCAGGAGGCAGCCGATCAATGATTCTCTCTCATCATTGATGTTTCTATCTCTCCCTTCCTCTCTGAAATCAACAAAAATATATTTAAAAATAAAGAATTTAGCCCTAACCGGTTTGGCTCAGTGGATAGAGCGTCAGCCTGCGGACTCAAGGGTCCCAGGTTCGATTCCGGTCGAGGGCATGTACCTTGGTTGCGGGCACATCCCCAGTAGGGAGTGTGCAGGAGGCAGCTGATCGATGTTTCTCTCTCATCGATGTTTCTAACTCTCTATCCCTCTCCCTTCCTCTCTGTAAAAAAATCAATAAAAAAAATATTAAAAAAAATAAAGAATTTAAGCGGTCCCAGAGTGAGATACAGATCAGGTGTTCACTACTACAGGGAGGACCGGGGGGGGGGGGGGGGGGGGCGGGCCTGGGCCCTTATCTTGTGGTCTGGAGTGGGGCGCTAGTCTTGGCTCCATGCAGAGCTGCTTGACCCTGCCCGCCCCACAGTGAGACAGTATGCCGACATCTGCCTCTTCAGCACTGCCCAGTACAAGTGCCCTGTGGCGCAGATCGAACAAGAGTGAGTATCAGAACAGCCCTGGGTCCCACCTTCAAGGGAGAAGAGTGGCCCCGGGAGAATGTGAGGTGGGGGTGGAATTCTTCCCAAACCATCTCCACTTTCAAGGCCGTTCTCTCCAGTCAGGTCGCTCTGAGCTGTTAATTTTCTTGAACAGCTTGAGCTAAAACCTACTCCCTTGTGACTTGTGCCGAGAGAGAAGGGGCTAGCGATGGGGTTAGGAGTTGCCCCTCACCCAACCCGGCCACTCCAATTGTCTTGTTCTCTTGTCCAGTGACCAAGTATCTCCCAGTTCCACGTTCTGCAAGGTGTACACGGTAACCCCGCTGCTCAGTGACAACCGGGAGAAGCGTGGCCTTGCCCTGGACGGGAAGCTCAAGCACGAGGACACCAACCTGGCTTCCAGCACCATGTGAGGGGGGGCTCTGGGGGGGGGGGGTTCTCTTGCAGCCCAGGAGATAGATATTCATTCAGTACCAGCCGTGTGCCAGGTTTTGCCCTAGGTGCCAGGCTCTATCAGTGAACAAAAGAGACAAAAGGCCTCTTACATTCTAGGGGAGGGAGGATAGACAAAGCAGATATAAAGCATGTTTAGTGACCAGTGTTCAGGAGAAAAAGCAAGGCAGAGAGAGGGGCAGGGTGTGTTAACTTTGAATAGGGCGGCTAGGGAAGACATAATCCACGGGTGAATTTTGAGTAAGAGCCCAAAGGAAGTAGGCGATATGGACGTGTAGGGGGAGTGTTCCAGGCAGAAACTGCAAACACAGACCCAGAGGTGAGCGGAGCCGGTGTGTCTGAAGAAATCCGCTGCCAGCCTCTATGGGCACTGCACGACCACTCAGAGCAAGCCTAGAGGCCAGCATAGTGAGAATGAACTACAAGGACAAGAGTAGCAGGTGGGGTTGGAGGGCTAATGAAGAGCAAGACAGTGCAGGGCTGTGAGGTCACAGGACTTCAGCTTTTATTGGGAGAGAGATGAGCAGCCACGGGAGGGTTCTGTGCAGAGGAATGGCGTGCAGGCCTTGGCTATGACAGCACAGCCTATGCTGCTGGAGCCTTGCGGCTGGTGTGAGTTTGTGGTCCTGCTCAGGGTCCCGATGGGAGCCCTAAGGGTGGGCTAATGTGCCGGACTGTGGGCCATGATCCAGCTCCTTCCCCCGATTGCAGCGTGAAAGAGGGTGCCAACAAGGAGGTGCTGGGGATCCTGGTGTCGTACAGGGTCAAGGTGAAGCTGGTGGTGGCCCGCGGTGGGTGAGTGTGTTGGGCAGCCCAGGGTGGGGCTTGACGTGGTTTCCTCCAGCTCTGCGTTGTCATCATCTCTTCATGCTGCCTCCCTCCCTCCCCAGGGATGTCTCAGTGGAGCTGCCTTTTGTTCTTATGCACCCCAAGCCCCATGACCACGTCACCCCCCCCAGACCTCAGTCAGGTAAGCATGTCACCCCAAGCCCCAAAGGGAGGACCTGAAGCCAGGCCAGTGGAGAAAGCTGGTCCTACCCACCCAACCATCCACTTTCTTCCTCCGCTCAGCTACTCCTGAAACAGATGCCCCTGTGGACACCAACCTCATTGAATTTGATACCAAGTAAGTCCTTCATCCCCTCCCTTCCTACCTTTGACTCTTGGACAAAGATTCCCATAATACTCAAATCTACCTTCTACCCCTCCCCCCGCCACCACCATTTTTTCCTCTTTGGGGGGAAGGATGGTTGAGTCATCAAATCACCTGCCCCTTTTTGTCCCTTCCTGCAAATATCTCCGGTCCCATTGCCGCTCTAACACCTCGGTCTGTGGGCGGAGAGTGGGAAGTTGAGAAGAGGGTCTGAAGCCCCCGCCTCAACCCCTACTTTCCACCACCAAGCTATGCCACAGATGATGACATCGTATTTGAGGACTTTGCCCGGCTTCGGCTGAAGGGGATGAAGGATGAGGACTGCGACGACCAGTTCTGCTAGGAAGGGGGGTTGGAAGAAGGGAGTGGATGGTGCTGGGAGAGGTAGGGGCAGGACCAAGATCCCCACTGTCATTGGGGTGGGTCCCAGCCCCTTTTCCCTTCCCCTCCTTCCAGCAGCTTCCTCAACCAACCTCTCCCCTCCCCCCGTCCCTCTCCTATTTCCCACCCCCTACCCCCCCATACGCACTGGACCCATCTCCTGTTGAACATGGGCATTAATGTTTTGACTACAGCTGTGCTACCCCAACCCCCCAGTGGGTGGCAAGCTGTGTTCATACCTAAAATTTTTGGAGGGGGATGCTGAAAAGAGGAGTGATAGTAGGAAAAGGGGGGAGAAAGAACTGCACACTCATTCCCTCTTGTCACTATCTGCCTCCCATTCCTTCAAGCTGAGACCCTTGGCAGGGGCAAGGCCACTTCTTTGTTTCTGAGCATAAAGAATAAACCTTTTAATAGGCATGTGGGTGCGTGTTTTCTCTGTAGCGTTGGAGGAATGTGCCCATCCATGAGTCTGTTAGCTTGTGGGTGAGGACCGAACCTCTCCCCTGTACCCACATGGCACCTGGCCCACAGGCCGTCAAGTACTGTTTATTGAGTGACTGGGCTGTACCTGTGTCCCAAGGTAAACATCGACACCTAATTTGGGCAGTCCGAATTCAAGGGCACAGTTTGGAAAAAGCCACCAAGCTTAGACGCTTCCTTGTTGCGGCCCCCACACGTGACCGCAGGGCGACCTGTTCTGACCTAGCGCATCCGCTGCCACTGCTCCTGAGGCTACTGAAGCAGCCCCTTCCTGGGGCTCAGCGGCAGCCTCGCCAGACCGAAGTCACACTCTCTGTGAAGCCTGGGACTTACATTCGGACATGGAGGCCAAGGCTTTAGGCAGCCAGAGAGTCATGCTGCCGTGGGCAAGTCCGAGCAGCAGCATCCAACTCTGATGTTCATCAGAGACTCCCTGAGGCTTGGCCAAAACCCGAGGCTGAGCTGGAGAGAGTAACACTCCACTGACATTCCTCCCTCCACCACCCAGTCCCGCTCCTGTAGCACAGACTTTCTCTCCTTTTCCTCTTTAAGGCTCATTCATCCCATGAATAGTCTCGATTTTAAGTCCCTATTATGTGCTAGGCATAGCACAGGGACATAGCAGTGACCTAACCAAACATTCAATCACTCCCTAATTATTTAATTATAATATCTGTGCTCCAAAGGAGTACAGGAGCTGTAAGAACACGTGACAGGGAGCTCTGACCTAGACTGGGGCTTGGGGAAGAGTTTCCTGGAGGAAGTGACCTTTGAGCAGAGAACTGAAACATCAGGGGGGAGGTCCACATTCCAGGCAATGACAACACCACAAGTGAAGGCAAAAAGGAACAGCTTATTCAGGAACTGGAAGGCCAGAGGGATTACAACCAAGAGCCACGAGCAAAGTAGCTCCAGATGCGGCTGGTAAGGCAGATAGGACAGCCCATACAAGCCGATTACAGCTCATAACACCTAATTAAGTCATTATTTACCCACAGGCTTTAAGCCAGCGGTTCTCAACCTGTGGGTCGTGACCCCTTTGGCAGTCGAACAACCCTTTCACAGGGGTCGCCTAAGACCATCCTGCATATCAGATATTTACATTATGATTCATAACTGTAGCAACATTACAGTTACGAAGTAGCAACGAAAATAATTTTATGGTTGGGTCACAACATGAGGAACTGTATTTAAAGGCCCAGAAGGTTGAGAACCACTGCTTTAAGTGCTGCCAAAATGCCAATGACCTTGCCTACCTCTCCACAGTAGCACCCCCTGCACCCCCTGGTCTTTGTCACATCCCTGACTCCCATGAACCTGCTCCTCGACCTCTGAGCTTTGGGCCCATGGATCTCAAACTTCAGGTGAATCAGAATCCTCTGGAATGCAAAAGGAAAACAGAGTCCCAGGCTCTCCCTGCCCAGATTCCAATTCAGTAGTCCCAGGAAGAATCCATGAAATTGGGATTTTGAATTAGCACACATTGTGAGAAACAATGCCTTTTTTCTTTTAGCTTTGTATGTTTTTAAGAAGATAAAAACATGTGGATGGTTTTTTAAAAATTTTCAAACAGTAAACGGTGAAAAGAAGGCACCCTCCCGCCTCTGATTCCAGTCTCCCATTTCTCATTCCCAGAGGTAACCACTATCCCAGTTCTTTGATTACTCTTCCAAAGATATTATTCAAACTCAGTCATACATACATGACTATATATTTCCTCCTTATTTTAAATACAGATCGTAGCATACTATGAACACTCTTCTACACCTTTTTTCCTTTAGTAATGTAGCTAGGAGAGCATTCCCTTCACAATACACAGAGATCTACCTCATTCTTTTATTTTTTTAATTTTTTAAAATATATTTTATTGATTTTTTACAGAGAAGAAGGGAGAGTTAGAAACATCGATCAGCTGCCTCCTGCACACCCCCCACTGGGGATGTGCCTGCAACCAAGGCACGTGCCCTTGATCAGAATTCAACCCGGGACCCTTCAGTCCGCAGGCCAACGCTCTATCCACTGAGCCAAACCGGATAGGGCCTACCTCATTCTTTTAAAGAGCTGCATAGCTTCCCATTGCCTAGATGTCGTTTATTTTTACCAGTTTCCTATCAATAGACATGGAGGAGGTCCGCTCTTGCTAATTCAAACAATATTACAGCAATTGTCCTTGAAAATATGTCCTTCTGCCCATGTCAAGTATATCTGTAGAGCAAATTCATAAAGCAGAGTTGGCGGGTTAAAGACGGTGAGCATCTTTTTTATCACTGCCGATCAAACAGGTGACATGTGACATCGCCCTAGTTTCAATTTGCATTTTTTTGTTTAGGAGTGAGGATGAACCGGATTTACTGGTTACTGGGTTGATGTCAACCCGTGGTCACTGGCGCCAATTCAATGCCAACAGGAACCCCCAATCTGGGGTGCGGTGAAAAGGGAAATTTTATTCAGTGCAAAACAGCTCAATTGTGACACAGCTGGGCTGTGAAAACAGCATGACCTGAAGTGGCCCTGGGGCCTCACTGATCTGCTTTGTGCTGGTCTGCTCGGAGGAGACATCTTCAATGTTTTAGCTCCAGCCAGGGAAACACGGTCTTCAGTGGAAAGTGTACTCTCAGTGCAGCCAGAGGGGGCCTAACTTATATAGAGGGACATTCTGCCATGGTCCCTGATTGGTCTATTCTCATGCAAATGAGGACTCCAATTTCTCACAATTTGATTGGTCCAAAAACCAGTCTTAAAAAAACAAAACAGTCTTTATTGGGCAGAATGGAGCTTCTCTGGTTGGTGAAGCTGATGGGGGGTGGAGAGGAGGGTACAGCTGTGCAGCTCCAATTGGATGGGAAAAGCCTCAGTTCTATTGGTTGAAATAGGATTCCAGGAACTCCTTTATAAGGGCTGGCTCAGGTGGCAGAAATACAGTGCAGGATTGTTTTTGTTTTAATTTGAGCCCAGTTAGCCACCAGGAGCCCATCTTAGTAGGTATTTTCTTTCTCCTGATCCACAATGTTATCTTCTTAATGTACTCTAAGAGCTTTTTTTAAAAAAAATATTTTTTTATTGATTTCAAAGAGGAAGGGGGAGAGAAAGAGAGAGGGAGAGAGAAACATTAATGATGAGAATCATTGATCAGCTGCCTCTGCACACCCACATGGAATTGAGCCTGCAATCCAACCCAAGCATGTGCCCTGACTGGAATTAAACCGTGACCTCCTGGTTCATAGGTCGATGCTGAACCACTGAGCCACGCTGGCCAGGCCCCAAAGAGTTCTTTTATGTAGTAAGGAAATTAGCCCTTTGTCATATATTTTGCAAATATTTTTCACACTTTATCTTTTTAATGTTTCTAGTTCTTTTTTTTTCTTTTTATTGAAGTCAAATTCATATAACCTAAAGTTAATCATTTTAAAGTGTACAGCTCAGTGGCATTTAGTATATTCATAATGTTGTGTGACCACTTCTAGTTTCAAAGTATTTTACTTCTGGTATTTTTAATGATTCATAAGTTTTTAATTTTATTTATTTATTTATTTGTTTTAAATATATTTTATTGATTTTTTACAGAGAAGAAGGGAGAGGGATAGAAAGTCAGAAACATTGATGAGAGAGATCGATCAGCTGCCTCCTGCACGCCCCCCAGTGGGGACGTGCCCGCAACCACGGTACATGCCCTTGACCGGAATCGAACCCGGGACCCTTGAGTCCGCAGGCCGACGCTCTATCCACTGAGCCAAACCGGTTCGGCAAGTTTTTAATTTTAATGTAGCATATTCTCATCATGCTTTTTTAATGGCTTCCTTTTTTTTTTTTGTCACAAGCTCTTGACCCTTTGTTTCCTCACAATTTGACACTTCCTTTTCTTTCCAGACTAAGTTCAAGATTATCATATCCACCACTATCTCCTCAGCACCCTCAACTCTTGCCCCTTTCACAATACACGCTCTCAAACCCCACCCTTGGCTCTGTTGACCATCACCCTGCCCTTCTCCACTCCAACACTGGGCTGCTGGGCACTGCCAGAGAAAACTCACACAACCATATTTATACGTTCATTAAGCAAATATTTTTTTAACATGTCCTAGGTGCACCCACACTGTGCTGGATACACATTGGGGGCCAGGACAAACTTACGGTCTCCAGCCCCCGCTGGGCCCTCAATATCTGACAACCCTTTGTCTCACTCCATGTCCTTGGTCACCTCCCTCTCCTGCTCCCATCCTACTAATCTTCCAAACCTTCCACATGTTCACAGTGACTTCCCCTTCTGTTTTTCACAGACGTTAAACGATGAGGGATGAACGATTTCAACTTCCTACCTCCTACCAACAAACAATGACATCTAAACCAATTCTCCGAGACAACCAAGGTTACGATGCCTTCTCCAGTACAAAGCTAATCCCTCCACCTGTGCTCACACTGCTCCCTTCCCATTCCTCTCTCTTCGACCCCTGCCTCTCCCTACTGGTTCTTCCTCCATGGTAAATAAACCCATGCAAGGCTCTTCTACTAAAGAAAGGAAGGGAGAAAGGGAGGGAGGGATGAGGAAAGGTGGGAGAAAGAAAGGAAACCAAAGGAAAAACACTCCTCCACGCTTCATTCTCTTTCACAGTAAAATCTATCTCTATTTCCTCTCTTTTCATTTTTATTGTTTTTATTTTCAAAGTTATATATGCACATAGTTTGAGGCTTCAGGTAGGGCTACAAGGTCTATTACAATAAAGAGTCGACCCTTCCCCCCTCCAATTTCCTTCTCAGATGCAACTACTTTCACCTCCTGTAGATGTTTCTTTTAGTATTTCCCTCCATATCTCTAAACAACACGTTCACTAATTTTTGTTTTTAAGTACCATCTACTGGCTTCCCTCCATGTAAAGTGAAAACTGAGCTCCCTTTCTTCCCTCTGCCCCACCATGGATCACTTTCCATCCTGCCCCTGCATGCTATACTCCCAAGAGAATTATATCAGTTAGGGCTAGATCAATATTCATTATTAGCTTATGTAATGTCATTCATAGCTGTCATGTGATATCGATCTAATGCCTTTCTCTTCTTCCATAACTTTATTTTCCCTGAATCTCGTTTACAAATTTGATTATTCTCTGAATTTTTTTGTTTGTTTTTTGTTTTTTTTATTAATTAAATCTTTATTGTTCAGATTATTACATTTGTTCCTCTTTTTTCCCCCCATAACTCCCCTCCTCCCAGTTCCCGCCCCACCCTCCGCCTTCACTCCCCACCCACTGTCCTCATCCATAGGTGCACGATTTTTGTCCAGTCTCTTCCCCCATCTCCCACACCCCTTTCCCCCCCAAGAATAGTCAGTCCATTCCCTTTCTATGTCCCTGATTCTATTATGATCACCAGATTATTTATTCACTTGATTCTTAGATTCACTTGTTGATAGATGCATGTTTGTTGTTCATAATTTGTATCTTTACCTTTTTCTTCTTCTTCCTCTTCTTCTTAAAGGATACTTTTCAGCATTTCATATAATACTGGTTTGGTGGTGATGAACTCCTTTAGCTTTTCCTTATCTGTGAAGCTCTTTATCTGACCTTCAGTTCTGAATGATAGCTTTGCTGGATAAAGTAATCTTGGTTGTAGGTTCTTGGTATTCATCACTTTGAATATTTCTTGCCATTCCCTTCTAGCCTGCAAAGTTTCTGTTGAGAAATCAGCTGACAGTCGTATGGGTATTCCCTTGTAGGTAATTGAGTTTCTTTCTCTTGCTGCTTTTAAGATTCTCTGTCTTTTGCTCTTGGCATTTTAATTATGATGTGTCTTGGTGTGGTCCTCTTTGGATTCCTTTTGTTTGGGGTACTCTGCGCTTCCTGGACCTGTAAGTCTATTTCTTTCACCAGGTGGGGGAAGTTTTCTGTCATTATTTCTTCAAATAGGTTTTCAATATCTTGCTCTCTCTCTTCTTCTGGCACCCCTATAATTCTGATGTTGGTACGCTTGAAGCTGTCCCAGAGGCTCCTTACACTATCTTCGTATTTTCGGATTTTTTTTTCCTTTTGCTTTTCCAGTTGGGTGTTTTTTGCTTCTTCACATTTCAAATCTTTGACTTGATTCTTGCGCTCCTCTGGTCTGCTGTTGGGTGTCTGTATAATATTCTTTATTTCAGTCAGTGTATGCTTAATTTCTAGTTGGTTCTTTATCACAACATCGAGGGTCTCATTAGATTTCTTGAGGATCTCACTACATTTATTGGCGGTCTCACCAGTCTTTTCGAGGGCCTTACTAAGTTTATCGGCAGCTTCTAGACAGTTCTTGAGAGACCTTAAAAGTGTGGTTTTGAGCTCTATATCTTCCATTTCTGACATTTGTGTCCTGTTTCTTTGTCTCCGCATTTTTTTATCTTTTCTTGGTGCACCCCCTAGTGGTCTTTGTGTGCAGTCTTGTTGTAGTTAAGCCTTGATTGTTGTCGGCAATACTGGGGGTGATTTCTATTCTCTGAATTTATCACTAATTCTGCCCTATACTCATCCAAAGGTTTATATATCCTCTCAATTCATTCAAAACAAAACAGATGTTCACCTCTCATCTCCTTGAAAAAATTCTCTAGGAGCCTTCCAATCTGGGTCTAACTCTAATAACCTCCTGAGAAAGGGTATGTGGGAGAAAAATTTGAAACCCTTTATCAAAGTGTCTTTATTCTGTCTTCATTATTGATAGTTTGGCTGTTGTGAGAGTCTAGATATCACTTAAAATCTATTCTTTTTTTTTTTTTTAAATATATTTTATTGATTTTTTACAGAGAGGAAGGGAGAGAGATAGAGAGTCAGAAACATCGATGAGAGAGAAACATCGATCAGCTGCCTCCTGCACATCTCCCACTGGGGATATGCCCGCAACCCAGGTACATGCCCTTGACCGGAATCGAACCCGGGACCCTTCAGTCCGCAGGCCGACGCTCTATCCACTGAGCCAAACCGGTTTCGGCTTAAAATCTATTCTTACACGGTACTAGAACAATAGCTGGCCACCTAGGTAAAAACTGGATTTCCCTAATCCCAGAGTTGGTTGAGACTATATGACTAAGTTTTTTTCCATGGAATGTGAGTAGAAATTATATGGGCCACTTCCTAGTCAGACCTGAGATTGGCATAACTCTACATTTTTTCTTCCCCCTCCCTGCCAGCTTCGACCCAGGGATGGCAGACACCCAGGTTTGACATTGAGGACAGCAATGCCCTAAGTGTTTCTCAGATTTTACTATGCAAACTGATCACCTGGGGATCTTCAAACACAGATTCAGTAGGTCTGTGGCAGTGGGGCCTGAGATACTGCATTTCTTTTTTTTTTTTTTTTTTTTCTTAAGGGGTGGGGGGGGTTAGGGAAGGGGAGGAGGAAATGGAGGCACAGGGGTGTTCCTGGGAGGGAGAGCTCACTGGGTCTTCCTTCCTAAGAGTTTTTAGATACTGCATTTCTAACAAGCTTCTAGGTAATGCTAATGCTGCTGGCCTACAGACCACACTTTTCAGTATAAGACCCTCAAGGATGACAGAGTGTACTGCTAGCCTCGGTCTCTGTATGATTTGTGGAGCACAGTGAACTACCCACTTTTTTTTTGGAAGAAAAAAATAAGTTCTATTTTGTTGAGTCATTGCATTTTAGCCTTCACCCTACAGAGCTGGAGAACAGAATTCCAGATTGGAAATCACTTTCCCCCCCAAATGCTGAAGGCATGATCCACTGTCTTCTAGTCTGGAGCGTTACTATTAAGAGGCTCAGTGCCATTCTAATTGCTGATCCTTCACATCCCGTCTGTTTTCTCTCTGGAAGCTTTTGCATCTGATATTTCATGATGTGGCTTGATGATGAGCAATGGATGGGCCCTTTTCATCTGGAAGCACAAGTCCTTCCTTTATTTTTTTATTGATTTTTAGAGAGAGGAAGGGAGAGGGAAAGAGCGATAGAAACATTGATGAAAGAGAAACATCACTGATTGGCTGCCTCCTTCACGCATCCTACCAGGGATCTAGCCCACAACCTGGGCGTGCACCCAGACCAGGAATCAAACCAGCAACCTCTTGGTTCATGGGTCGACACTCAACCACTGAGCCACACAGGCTGGGCAGCCCTTCCTTTCTTTTTTTTTTTAAATATATTTTTATTGATTTTTTACAGAGAGAAAGGGAGAGGGACAGAGAGTCAGAAACATCGATGAGAGAGAAACATCGACCAGCCGCCTCCCGCACACCTCCCACTGGGGATGTGCCCGCAACCAAGGTACATGCCCTTGACCGGAATCGAACCCGGGACCCCCCAGTCCGCAGGCCGACGCTCTATCCATCGAGCCAAACCGGTTTTGGCAACCCCTTCCTTTCTTACTCTTCATTTTCTCTGATCTTTAAGCCCTCAGTCTGATTCTCTAGTCCACTCCCCCCCCCCCCTTTTCCCCCTATATGCCATCTCCTTTCTTTTGCTTTACTAGCTGGGAGAGTTCCTCAATTTCTCTTTAAACCCTTTTGCTAGATTTTTCATTCCTTCCCTCGGGGTTTTACTTTTCAAGTGTGTTTTCTTAGATGCAATCCTTTATTATAGTATCTCTTATGTAAAAGTATCAATAGTTTTTTTTTTTCCTTAAGTTTTACTTTACATTGTCTATAGACAAAGTTGGGACCTGCCATCTATGGGTTTCAACATGGGGTGATCTGGCTAAGTGCTTTGTTGGGGGACCCCGGGTGTTAATACTCTGAAATGTCTTCTCTCACTAGTCAGATTCCCCAGATAAGAGCCTTCCAGGCTCTGATCTGGATGGCAGAGTTCAAGAAACCACAACTCAGTAAATAAACGTTCACTTGTCTACTTTCAATACAACTGTTCCCAAATATCCTTCATGCTGAAGACCCCCTGTTTTCCATTTCCAACAAAGAAGTCTCCAGTAACACTATGGGTTGGAGGTGAGTAGTTGCCCAGATATACGGAGTAAAGGAGGAGATGGGAGGAGTCTAAATACTTCAAAGAATCCTCCTAATGTTGGTAACCACCTACACGCCAGTTGTACATGATGCCAGTAATTCAAAGACATATCAAGTTGCTTCTAAACTTTCTTCACTGCTGGTGTAGTTACCACTTCACTGCTAAATCATTTGCCACTGCCCAACCGGTGTGGCTCAGTGGTTGAGGATAGACGGGTGAACCAATTTTTATTCCTGGTTTGATTCCTCATCAGGGCACATGCTTGGCTTTTGGGCTCCATCTCCAGTAGAGGGCGTGCAGGAGGCAGCCGATCAGTGATTCTCTCTCATCATTGATGTTTCTATCTCTCCCTCTCCCTTTCTCTCTCTGAAATCAATAAAAAAAAATTCTTTTTTTAATTTTTAAACATCAGTTGCCATTTATCCTTCTGTTTTTCAGTTTCTATCTAAAACTTTGCTACTAACTCCTCTTTCTTTTTGACCTCTTTATGAAATCCCCTATTGTTATTATTATTAATCCTCACTGGAGGATTGATTTCTAGACAGAGTGGAAGGGAGAGAGGAGGGGGGAAGAGAGTCCCCTATTGTTATTTTGATATTTTTCCATTGCTTTTTAAAAAAATATATATTTTATTGATTTTTTACAGAGAGGAAGGGAGAGAGATAGTTAGAAACATCGATGAGAGAGAAACATTGATCAGCTGCCTCCTGCACACCTCCTACTGGGGATGTGTCCACAACCAAGGTACATGCCCTTGACCGGAATCGAACCTGGGACCCTTCAGTCCCCAGGCTGACGCTCTATCCACTGAGCCAAACCGGTTAGGGCTCCATTGCTTTTTAGAGAGAGTGGAAGGGAGGGGGAGAAACAGAGAGAGAGAAACATCCATGTGGAAGAGACACGTCCACTGGTTGCCAACCAGGGCCAGGGATCTAGCAGGCAACCGAGGTAGTGCCCTTGATCGGAATCTAACCCAGGACCTTTCTTACTCTGGGCCAACGCTCTATCCACTGAGCCAAACCAGCTAGGGCTAGATTCCCTCAAGTTTAACTGAAAGTCTCCATTCACACTCTCAATCTTCCATAATCTGTCAACATTGATCTTTCCAAACGGGTAAATCTGTCCTAACACACCTCTTTAAAATCCTTCAAAGGACCCAAATGCCTTCAGAACACAGTCCAAATTACTTAGCTTGCAAACCTTTTCCAGATCTGTCTCCTCCAGTCTCCCCAGCCACACCTTCCATTCACGCCAAACTGAATCCCTTGCTGTCCCTTCAAATGCGCTGGACCCCTTCACGCACCAGGCGCTTGCCTGTGCCAGTTCCTTTTTCCTCTTCAAACAGGTAGATACCAGGTTAACTCTTTAGATTCCGTTGAAGCAGCACTTCTGCCCGGAGTCCTTTCTCTGTGCTCCTGGTGGTGCACCCGGGGCATAGCTCCAACAAAACGCCTATGCCATATCGCGGGAGAGTCCACCTCGTTCATCTTTGTAAACCTGAGCCCACCACATGATGGAAACCAGAAAGGGAAAGGTGAAAAGGCTGAAAAAAGCCAGGACTGATGGTGTTTCAGCTGGGCTCCCGTCCAGGAGGAAGCGCTAGGGCGAATAATGTAACCCTCACCAAGTCAAGCTTTCCCCGGGTCCCAACAGATGGCGGAGCCGGGTGGGCACACAGAGAGAGGTTCCACGGCTGTGTAATCTGGAAGAATACCCCAGAACTCCCACCATCATCCCCTAACGCCAGCAAACGCTCAATTAATTCTTACAGAAGAAATTAACTATAGGCCACAAGATAATGGCGCGAAGGTTTGACTGGTCAGACCGCCCCTGGTTACAGAACGTCCCGCTGCAGTCTCCTGCACTGGTAGTCCGGCGGCGATGGCGCAGGTCTGTGCATGCGCAGAACTCCTGCGCGTTGTCGTTCACCAGGTGAGCCGAGAAAGGCGGGGCTTCGCTGAGCATCCTGGGAATTGTAGTGTCGGCTAGAGATCGCTCTCGGCGCCGCCGGAAACCGACGTGCCCTTCCGGGCTCAAACGCCGCGCTTCGCAAAAGGGGAAAATCCGGTGGGTTCCCCGAGCGACAGACAATGGCTACCTACAGCCTGGCAAACGAGCGACTACGCGCCTTGGAAGACATCGAACGGGAAATCGGCGCCATCCTTCAGAATGCAGGTTCGGGAAACGACGACCGGAAGGCCGAGAGCGAGCCCGAGCCCCGTGCACGTGCGCCAACCCGAGATTAGGAGCGGGGATGGGGAAGGATCCTAGGACCTAGGTGCTAGGGCTGCGCGGGAGGGAGGGGGTGGAGGGAAGGGGGTTGGAGGGGCTGGCGCTTGGGCGGGACTGCCGGTGTCTGAGTAGCCCTGCCCTCTCTCCGCCCCTGCAGGTACCGTAATCCTGGAACTTTCCAAGGAAAAAACCAATGAGCGGCTGCTAGACCGACAAGCGGTGGCTTTCACGGCGTCGGTGCAACACGTAGAAGCGGAGCTGTCGGCTCAGATCCGCTACCTAACCCAGGTGGGTGGGTGGTGAGAGGTGCAGGTGCCCACCCAGCTCTCTGCCTTAGCCTTAGCCTTAGCCTTCAGAGGGCCCCGGCGGAGCCTTGACCTCGGGAGCCAGGCAGGACCAGGCCGCCCGAGCCGGCACCAAGCCGGGTGAATGACCCTGGCAGGACTCTTCCGTTCCAGGGCTGGTTTCTTCCTCCAAAAGGAAAGGCGGCCCTGCCTATTCACGAGTTTCATCACATGAGCCACTAGATAAGGAAGCTCTGGCAGAGGGCTTGTAAACCCAAGCGCCTGTCGCAGGACTTTGTCCCCTGAAACTGACCTGAGGAGCCTGAAACCCCAGATAGCTACTTCCTGATAAAAGAGACGGGACTGAGAGGGTTCTGAAGTCATTACAATAGCAACCACTGTTTACCAACCTTTTACAATGTACCAGACACGCAGCGTGATCTTATTTAACTGTACAACTCTAGGAATTAGTTATTGTCACCCCCATTTTCCAGATGAGGTCATCAGAAGTTAGGTGGTTTGCCCTATGTCATCCAGCTACCATGTGGTATGAATTCAAACTCTGGAAAGAAATGAGACAAGAGACCTGATGTCTTGTTGGGGAGATGGATGAGGGGAGGGGGGCTTCGTTGACCAGTTGAAATGTCCTCTAGGTGGCCACAGGGCAGCCCCACGAGGGCTCCAGCTACTCTTCAAGGAAGGACTGTCAGATGGCACTAAAGCGAGTGGACTATGCTCGCCTCAAGCTCAGCGATGTGGCCCGAACCTGTGAGCAGATGCTGGAAAACTAAGCCAAGTAGGCAGAGAGACATCTTGGAGGCAGATCACCACCTGCCCCCCGGGACAGAACCTGGAGACCTATAGATTGAGGAGCACAGGCTGCCATGCATGCCCTGCTGGTCATATATGAGGACAAAGAGGCAAAAGGTGGGAATGGAGAAACTTTAAGCCCACGTCTGCCCATGACTCTGTGCTGGCTCCTCCAGCAGGTGCTCCTGCTCTAACTTCACCAAAGTGCTGACAAGCTCAGACAGGAGATAAAGAGTCAGTCACCCAACCCACTTCCTTAGATACTTCATGTCCTTGTCCCCCTCCGCAGACTTGACCCAATGAAGAACGTGTCTTCATTGGGAGAGAGAAAACAGGAACTAAGGGTTTTGATAATGAAAAACAACAACAATAAAGACAGTGAGCTCAGACTGAGACTGGGGCATATATGAGTGACACAAGGGATTGAGGAAGTAAATCCAGCCTGGATGGCAGCTGGTGGCTGCTGAGGGAGGGTGGGAAAACCCAGGCCTTAAGTGTGGGGTCAGGGGAGGAAGCAGGTGAGGGCTAAAGTTGGTGTGGTATAGAGAGAGACTTTGGGGAGCGGGGTACCATCCGCAGAGAAGCTGAAGCCAGGAATCATGGTAAAGGGGCAAGGGCATGAGGCCAATGTATACAGAAAGAAGAGTCAATAATTAGAAAAATACTTTTTAGTAAAAATAATATACATTCAGAATTTTACACAATGTAAAGACAAAAAGAAAGTTCTAAGAGGGCAGTGGCTGGTGTTAAACAGTAACAGATATATACAGAGTGCCTACTGTGTGCCAGAGAGAATGTTCCAGTTTATTAAATGGTTATGGTAATGGATAAATCACATTTTCTACTCTCACAAGCTTCCATTCTTAGCCCAACTGTTGGAATGAATATGATGCCACAGGTATATCTTGACGCTGCAAATCTGGAAAAGAAATTGAGGGATGAGCTCTGAGATCAAGGGAAGTTGGGGTGGGGAAGTGATGGCAGATTCACATGCTTGAATTAGAGAATCAGACTCCAAGGGAAGTTGGGGTGGGGAAGTGATAGCTTGAATTAGAGAATCAGACTCCAAAACATTTAATCAGACAATCTGGTACACAGTAGGTACTCAATAAAGATTTGTGAATTAAATGGATGGCTCCTACTTTCTACCCCTTCATCTCCCACTAGTCTGCTCTAGCTGCCATCTTCTTGGTGTTTCTTTCAAGCACTGCCTGGCTTTGAAGGCCAAGCACTGGACGCAGGGCCCATGGTGGCTTCCCTCCCTCCCCATTCTGTATTCTGGCTGACTCTTCTCTTGTGACTTACGGTCCATGGTGCAGATAGCCTTCATCTTTGCCTGCCTGGGGTGGTTTCCAGCTATCTGGAAGCCACTGGGATCAGGATTCCTGCCAGGGAGGCTCTGGTCCCCAGTGGAGGGCTTCAGAGATCCACTTTACCTGGAGAGTACTGCGGTGACTGCTTACTTCTCCTCTTACACACCACATAGAGAAGGGCTCCAGTGAGGAAGAAGACAATGCCCAAGAGAGACAGCACTGGCACCATGACACCATGTGACCCAGCTGTAGAACCCACATTTTCTTCCAAGTGCTTCTGGTTCACCCCAGCTTCAGGCCCAACCTCTACACTGTGGCCCACAGAGGAAGTAGTGGTTTCATGGGAGTGGATGAGCTTTTTGTCCAAGGAAAGTGTTCCTACTGGAAGCGTAGGCTGCTGGGTAGACTGCAGGGTGAGTGGCAGGTACGTCTGAGCAGGGGTGTCCGTGACTGCAGGTGCCCCTTCAGTGGACTCAGGAATCTGGGTGCTGGGGGGAGGTGAATGCTCCTGCTGGACCACTCTTCCAGAGTAAGCATGTCCACATTCTGGAAAGGCAAGGAGTGAGGAATCATGATTGTGAGGAGATGGGGTGATGAAGCAGATAGAGGGAGGGGTAGTGGGTCAAGGGGAATAACAGCTGAAGACCAGGAGAGAAAGGCAGGGGAGAGGTGAAAGGTGGGGGAGAAGGAAGTGAACCAACTGCAACATGAAACCACAGGGACAGAGGTGTGTTCTGACCTGGGTTGGGCCCAGCCAGTGTTGTTCAGTGGTTGGGTGTCAACACATGCACCAGGAAGTTGCTGGTTCGATTCACGGTCAGAGCACGTGCCCAGGTTATGGGCTCAATCCCTGGAGGCAGCCGATTGATGTTTCTATCTCTCTCTCTCCCTTCCTCTCTCTAAAAATCAAAAGATATTTTTTAAACAAAAGAGCGAGAGAGAGAGAGAGAGAGAGAGACACTTGGGTTGGAATCTGTTATGAAGTAGCTGTGTGACCTTGCTCTTGTCTCTTAACCTCTCAGGGACTCATTTGTTTCAGCTGTAAAGTGGGGATAATTTTAGTACCAAGGGCCATAGTAGCTGGGAGTATTACATGAAATAATGTAGGCCTATAGAGCTCAAAAGGCAATAAACTTACCACATATGCTACACAAGACAACTTTAGGTGGGATGTGAAAAACACTTCCTATTTTAATGGTTGTGTATTTCTTTTAGGAGAAAATACAACCAGTGCATTATATTTATGACTTCACTGATATTACTGCCTAGGGCAAGTCGCTACTTAAGTTTTCAAAAGTAGCTTGTGGCCTGACCAGTGTGGCTCAGTTGGTTGAACTTCATCCCATGCACCAGGAGTTTGCTGGTCCTATTCCTGGTCAGGGCACATGCCCAGCTTGCAGGCTCAGTCCCCACTAGTGGGTGTTCAGGAGGCAGCCAATCAAGGATGTTTCTATCTCCCTCTCTCTAAAATCAATAAAACCATTTCTTTAAAGTGGCTTATGTACACTTAAGATTTGTTCATTTCAAAAAAAAAGATTTATTCATTTCATTGTGTGTAAATTCTACCTCAAAAGATAAAAGGAACAATAAAATACTGAATTCTATATGCATGCTGAAATGTTTGGGGGGTGAAGTATAGTCATGCCTGCAACTTACCTGGAAATGCATCAAAAAAATAAGATGGATTGATGATAGAGGCTGGATAGACAGATGTGCAATAAAGCAAATACAGTTAAAATGTTATAAACTCAATATTGTAAAATATAAAATATATTTGCTTTATTATGTACATATGTAAAATATAAACATAAAGACTAAGTATTGTAGGATCTAGGTCGTGGGTATATGGATGTTTACAATTCTTTCAATTTTTGTATACTGTATGTCTTTAAATTTCCATAAAAGAATGGAAAACAAAGATAGTGTCCTGATTTCAAGGAAAATACTGAGTAAATAATAGCACAGGGTGAACTAGCAAAAAATCATGAAAGTAGTAGTGAATGATGTTTGGTGAACAGGGACTTAGTGAAAGTACTTTGGCCAGCATCAGAATAGGAATGTGAGGACTCACAGGGGAAAGGTCTGAGGTGAAGGAAATTACAAGGTGGAGGCGCTGAGCCCTGGAGACAGAGCCTGGAGAGGAGGGGGGGAGCACTCACCACTCTTAGCAAAGCAGCTGATCAATTCAGTCACCCACGGGTCCTTGCTGTCCCCACATACACTCCAGGACTGTTGTCGGTACTTTAGTTGGAACCTTCAGAGGAACAACCTGGTTTTAGCTTCAGGAGCCCCCCACCCCACCCCACCCCCCACCCCTGCTTTCCCACCTCTTTCCTCATTCCAAAGACATGAGGTCACCTCCCAGAGCAACCTGTTTCTGCTGAAGTGGGAATTTCCCAGGAAGGTGGAACAGGAAAATGAAAGTGTGGAGAATTAAGGCAAACAACCCAGAGAAGGGTTAAGTGCTCCCAGAAGGAGTTCAAGTTTGACCTGAGAGGGTCCTGGAGGCACCTGGCAAGGAGGGATTGCAGGCGCTGCCTTCCTTCTCAGGGGTGGGTGTGATTACCTGACATAGTGAGGACAGCGATTATAGGCTTTCAGTAGTTTTTGGAAACGTTCCATGTCTTTAACCGTTGGAGAGCCAGAAGAAAATCTTCTATCACAATAACAATTTCCAGCTCTGCTGCCCTCGTTGCCATCGCCTGAGTGGGACAGAGGAGGTCAAGCACAGGTTCCCAGGCAAGGTGTGCCACCAGCTTGTCACTCATCCTCCAACCCACTGCCCCACTGCAGCCTCTCCCTTAGGCCCCGGCCTGATCGCCATGCTCAACCCCACATCACACCCCTAAAGACTGTTCCTGCCCCAGCCGGTTTATTCGGCCTGCGGGCTGAAGAGGCCCGGGTTCCATTCGGGTCAAGGGCACACACCCTGGTTGCGCCTGGATCCCCAGTAGAGGGTGTGCAGGAGGCAGCCAATTCATTCTCTCTCATCATTATGTTTCTGTCTCTCTCTTCCTCAACCTCTTTGAAATCAAAAATATATATTTTTTAAAGATGTTCATAATACCACCTGTATCCAGGTGTCCCGCAGCCTGACCCCCAACTCCAGGCAGCTGGCCCGCCCCCTGCCCTGGCTGCCCTGGGGATCCGGACGCGCCTGGCTCCCCACTTACTCAACTCAATCCCGCGGCCCTAGTGTCTCCCCGACACACAACACACACATACACACTCACACACAGCCATCCCCCTCCCAGATTCGGGGATCTGGGTCCCAGCTCGGCCCCACGTACCTGGCACAGCCAGCTGCGCTAGCAGGAGGGGGAGCGCGAGGGACCAGGGTCCCCAGCCGCACCTCATCTCGGGGCCGCGGGGACCAGGCTGGCTCCCCGACAGGCTCCGGTGAGTGACGGTCGTTCGGCAGGTTCCTCTGAGGCTCTCACTTCCTTCACCGGCTGCACCTGAGGTCCTAGGAGCGACCGAGGCCGTGGGCGCGCGACCCCGGCCTAGACGGCGGGACGAGGCGGCGCGAGGGGCAGCGCCCACCCTCCGTCCCGCGCTCGCAGCTCGTGGCGCCTCGAACCGACAGCGCGGTCGGTACCGTCCACCCCGTGCGGCCCGCACTCCAGCGGGTGGGAAATTCCCGGAGGCGGAGCTGCGCCGCCCGCGCCCACGCACTCGGCGGGAGGCTCCGTGGACGGGTCGGCCGGGAATGTCTGAAAAAAGGGGACAGGGAACGTGGGCTGCGGAGCGAGGCGCGCAGGAGGCTGCGTGTCAACCGGCGGACCGGACCCGACGCGGAGGAGGGATGCCAGCCGCGCCCGGCGCTCGCCTACCCAGGTCGGCCCTGGGGACCTGGGACACTAGTGAGGTTCACCGGCCACCGCCTCCAAGATGCTTTCACTTCCCCGGCTCCGCGGGATTTAGTCACATGTCCGGGGTGATGAGAACAGGAAAGCCCGCGGGCCTCCCGGAACACACGGCGCCCAGACGCGAGGAGCGGGCCACGGGCTCCCCAACCCTGACGTCACGCCGCCCCCACCCCGAGGTATTTACCTTCGAAAAGTGGTGGCGGCTGCAGGTACCGGAGGAGCGGAACGGCCAGGAGAGGCTAGGTCTACGGGGGCTCCCCGCAACCCGATCCAAACTGAAGGGATGCTCCTGCGCCTGCTCCCTCCTGCCACACCCCACAGACGGATCCCAAGTTCTCCCCTCCTTGCCAAGCCCTTCCCCGTAGGATAAGCCCTCCCTCATCTCTGTTCCCAGCCCAAACCCCGCTTTTGAGGGTTGGAGCCTCACATTCTCAGCCCCAAATACCATCTCACGCCTGAGTACGTCTTTAACCCGAAGGGTCCACTTTCAAGTCTAGCTCCCGTTCTCATCCCGGGATTCCCATCTTCGGCCTTGAAAGCTTTATTCTCAGATCCTAACACTCACCTACAGACCTCACCCTACGTGACTCTTAAACCCAATATCCCACTGTGTGACCCAGCCCCAAATTCTCAGCACAGCCTTTCCCTCACCGTATAACCCCTTCCCCCTGGCTTAGTCTGCGCCCAGGCCCTGTGCCCCTGAAGACATGGAGTTTGTGTCTGGATATCGAGACGAGTTCCTTGATTTCACTGCCCTCCTCTTTGGCTGGTTCCGAAAGTTCGTGGCAGAGCGTGGGGCTGTGGAGACCAGCCTGGAGGGCCGCTGGCGACAGTTGGAGGCACAGATCAGAAGGCTGCCCCAGGACCCTGCCCTTTGGGTGCTCCATGTCTTGCCCAACCGTAGTGTGGGCATCAGCTTGGGGCAAGGGGCAGAGCCTGGACCAGGCCTGGGGGCGGGCTGGCTGCTGGGAGATCAGCCCCCACTCCACCTTCGAGACCTAAGCCCCTATGTCAGCTTTGTCAGTTTGGAGGAAGGCGAGGAAGGGGAGGAAGAAGAAGAGGAGGAAGAGGAAGAAAACGGAGAGGAAGAGGGTGCAGGCACAGAGAAGGTAGAACCCGAGGAGGATGGGGAGCCAGTCCATACGAGCAGGGAGTCCCCCCAGGAAGCAAATCTTCCAGGGCAGCCAGAGGAGGCTGAGCAGAAGGAAGGAGGTGGCGAGAATGGCTGTCAAGACGAGAGGGCAGAAGACGAAACTGGGCCTAAGAGGAGAAAGGGGCGAAGAAGTGGTAAGAAGCCAGGGCTGGCCCTGCCCTATCCCCTGCGCAGACATACTCCCCCCCTGAAGCCCTCTTACCACTCAGAACCCAGCTAGGAGTCACAAACAAAAGGGTGGCTTCAGGCCAATCTGGCCTGAGAAGGTGTTTTTATCATCCCACATTGTTTTTTAATTTGAGCCAACATTTACATATTGTTTAAAAAAAAAACAACTCCGGGAAGTGTGGAGTTACACCTTCTTAAGAAAAAGTAAAGAACGGCAGCAAATGCTGGTACTGTGTGTCTGCTGTCCCTTTAAGATAAGGCATATCCTCTCTACCTGGTTCCCTTTGCTCACTCAGTTTACTTGCCTACCCCCTGTAGGCATTTGAGTGTAAGACCCCTGATCCCGATCATCTTTGCTACCCGCCACCTCTGACTTTTCTTCCCCAGAGGCTGCCCCCCTGCACCTTGCCTGCCTCTTACTGGTGACGGATGAACATGGCACCATCTTGGGCATTGACCTGCTAATGGATGGAGCCCAGAGGAGTGCAGGCAAGGGCTCATGGACAGAGAACCTGGCTCCTCGGGCCTATGCTCTCCTCTGCCACAGCATGGCCTGCCCCATGGGCTCTGGAGACCCTCGAAAGCCCCGACAGCTTACTGTGGGAGATGCCCAGCTGCACCGGTACAGAAATCTGGTATCTGCGGGTGGGGAGGCCTAGGGGGCCCGGACTTCTGGACCACGCAGCCTGATGCCCCTATTCACCCCCATTCAGAGAGCTGGAGAGTCTGGTCCCAAGGCTGGGAGTGAAGTTAGCCAAGACCCCAATGCGGACATGGGGTCCCCAGCCAGGCTTCACCTTTGCCTCCCTTCGGGCTCGAACCTGCCATGTTTGTCACAAGCACAGCTTTGAAGTGAAGCTGACACCCTGGTGAGCAGCCTGCAAAGATGGAGTGAGAGGAAGGAAGACCCCAACAGTCAGGCAAACAGAGAGGCCAGTGGGGGACCCTATAGACAGAGTGAGGGACAAGGAAATTAGGTGAAGAAAACAAGTTGTTGCCCTAGACAGTTTGGCTCAGTGGATAGAGTGTCGGCCGATAGACTGAAGTGTCCCGGGTTTGATTCCCGGTCAAGGGCATGTACCTCGGTTGCAGGCTTGATCCCTGGCCCTGGTGGTGTGTCTCTCTCACATCGGTGTTTCTCTCTCTGTGTCTCTCCCCCTCCCTTTTACGCTCTCTAAAAATCAATGGAAAAATATCCTCAGATGAGGATTTTTTTAAAAAGAAAGAAAACAAGCTGTTACTGGCAGAGAGAATACAGACAAACAGACTGAGTTTGGGCAGCTGCAGGGCAGACAGATGGCAGACAAAGGACTTACAGAGCTTAACACCGGGTGCCCACCACTCCCTGTGACCCCAGCCCCCAGTGTAGTGCTGTCTTGTACTGTGGAGAGGCCTGTCTCCGGGCCGACTGGCGGCGATGCCCAGATGATGTGAGCCACAGATTTTGGTGCCCGAGGCTTGCAGCCTTCATGGAGCGGACAGGAGAACTGGCAGCTCTCCCTTTCACCTACACTGCAGGTACCACAGGGAGGTCAGGCTGGGGAGGGGGAGCTGGGACCCGGCCTTTGTGTCTGGGGCCTGGATGTCTGGGAACAGGGTCCTGGAGGTTAAGTCTGGATCCCTGGAACGAGGGCTGGATGCTGGCTATTTGGGACAGAAGACTAGGCCTTGAGGCTGGAGACAGAGTTTCTGGAACTAAGGACTCAGCACCCGGGACCCTGAAATAGTTTAGGGGACTTAGAACTGGCGATTCAAATACTTGCTTCCCAGCTCCACCACTAACTGGTGACCTTAAGCAAATCACTCTGTGTCTGAGCACCTTCGTTTCCTCATCTGTAAAATAGGGATATTAACAAATGTTCCCAGGAATTGTTATAGGAATTCTGTCGGCTGGATGCCTGCTACACTGTAGGCACTCAGAAATGTTAGTTCTCTCCCTGACTAGCACCACACTCAGACCCAGAGTCCTTGGGAGAGGCTGAGGAGAGCTAAAGTCTGGGGGGTCCTAGCCACCAGGCCCTCAACCTTCTCCTCACCCTTCTCCAGAGGTGACCAGTGAAACCTTCAACAAGGAGGCCTTCCTGGCCTCACGAGGCCTCACTCGTGGCTACTGGACCCAGATCAGCATGCTGATCCCAGGCCCTGGTACCCCCAGGCACCCCCGGGGCAGCACACCATCCCTCAGCCTTCTTCTCAATGGTGCGTGGACCTCTCCTCAGGCATGGGCCTCTGAGGGAGAAAGGGTGGGAGGGAATACAGTTGTCTGGGTCCCAGATAACCCCTCCATATACACACCTAACCCTACACCAGGGCCATTTCAGTCCCTTCCTCAACCCTCTAAGTCACTGCTGCCCTCCCCATCCCAAAACCATCCCTAGGCCACCCCCTCCCGCAATTCCCCCAGGTCCTCCCTCAGGTAATACAGCTCCTTTGGAAGAGAGAGGGAGGCATGCCAGGTGGGGGTCTCCCTGACACTGGGCTCCTCCTCTTTCTCTCCTCCTCTCAGGAGATCCCTACCAGCTTCTTCAGGGGGACGGGCCTGTCCTGATGCCTCCTGTGCCCCCAGATCCACCCAGGGGCCTCTTTGGTGAGCTGGAGGGACCCTGTAGGAACTAGGGGCAGGGATAGTGACTGGAGAGCCAGCAGTCTGGGTGGCTGAGATAAGGGGGACTATTAGACGGGAAGCATTGGGGTCCAGACCTGGGGCCAGGTCTCCCAGTAACCCACTCTCCCCAGGCTCGTGGCAGGATTACTACACATGGCGGGGCCTCAGCTTGGACTCCCCCATGGCTGTGCTGCTCACCTACCCGCTGACTGTGTACTACGTCATCACCCACCTGGTGCCCCAGTCCTGTAAGGAGCGCGGATGAGGGGGAGGAGTGCTTCAAGCGGGGCAGCAGGGAGCTGGTAGGGGACAGGAGGGAAGAGGAGGGAGACCAGACCCTTAAGTGGCCAGCTTCTCACACAGTCCCCGAGCTCAACATCCAGAACAAACAATCTCTGAAAATCCACGTGGTGGAGGCTGGGAAGGAGTTTGACCTTGTCATGGTGTTCTGGGTAAGTCCCTCCAGGCCTGAAGTTGGGCATTTGGGTGGCAAAGTGGATGCAGGGTGGGACCCCATCTGCCTCTCTGTCCTTTAGGAGCTGTTGGTCTTGCTCCCCCACGTGGCCCTGGAACTACAGTTTGTGGGTGACGGCCTGCCCCCCGAGAGTGACCAGCAGCATTTTACCCTGCAGAGGGTGAGGGCTGAGGGGTTCCCTGCTCTTCCTTCCTGGCCCTCCTACTGTCCTCCTCATTTGGCCTCGCCCTTCTCCTCCCTCCTCCCCCTCCTTGGTCTTGCCTGATGCATCCTCCAGCACCCTAACTTCCAGTGGTTTCTGCACCCCACTCCTGGCCCCCCAGGATGGCCCTGAAGTCTCCGTCCGTCCTGGTTCCGGGGTGTCAGCTCGGCTCAGCTCTGGAACTAAGGAGAAGGGGGGCCGGAGGGACCTGCAGATCAAAGTGTCTGCTCGGCCCTACCACCTGCTCCAGGGGCCCAAGCCCGACTTGGTTATTGGTAAGAACCCGGGGTAGGAGTGCGCGGAGGAGGGAGGAGGGAGACATGGCAGCCAGCTTCTCCCTGCTCTCCCTCCGTCCACAGGATTTAACTCGGGCTTTGGTCTCAAA